CTCAGATAATCGCCTGTTTTTAGCTAGCACAAATTTCAGACATAGAGAAAGACACTGTCTGACGTGGTGTCCACCGAGGTCAACTCAGCGATGGACACATATAGACCACATTGCTATTAGTCATCGCTGGAGAGGTTCGTTGGAAGACTGCCGCTCTCTTCTGGAGTACGTGTTTGGATAGCAACCACGCGTTGGTCCTAGCGCGTATATGCCTACATCTCAATGAACGTAAGAAAACTTTGGCAACAAAACCATTAAGTGTGCTGCGGGACAAGGAAAACACCAAAGCGGTGTTTAGTGAGAAGTTGGCTAGACAGTTATCTAAACAGAAGACTATCACCCATCCAGTAGAAGCTTGATGCCATCTCGAGTCTGCTGTAAAAGCAGCGCTGAAGACCGTAGCCGACTCCGAACTAGTGACTAAAACGAGCCAGTGGATATCAGCAGCTTCTTGCTAACTAATGGATGCAGGTGAACTCATTTGTGCCTGTAGGCTGTGAGTACCATGACGAGTGAGCGCAATTTATAAGTGAATTGAGAAAAAGTCTACGCAACGACCGCGAAGAGTGGTAGGTAGCGAAGGTTAGAGAGATGGAAAAGGCAGTGGCGATCGGTAATAGGAGACAGTTATTTAGACTTATTAAGGAGACTGGAGGAGAAGGTCAACAGCGGTCAGTGAGGCTACAGCGGAGAAGGACGGATCTGCGATTCATTTGCAGAGTAGACGACTAGAAGGATGAGCAGAACACTTTGAGGAAGAGTTTAAGTGGCCTCCATCCACCACTGCGTTGCTCGCTATCCAATCGGATCCTGAATGGGACATTGAGATATGTCCCCTAACACTAGTAGAAGTCGAGAAAGCAGTAGGTAACCTGGAACGAGGAAGGGCAGCAGGACCAGACGGACTACGTGCTGAAGTATACAAGGATGGTGGTGGTGTGCTGTTAATCAGGTTAATGGAAGTGTTAACCAGTATATGGGGAATTAAATACGACCGCTTCTGACTGATCTAAATCGCTGATTATCCCAGTCTTCAAGAAAGGCGAGTCCCTGTGGGAACAACACTCACTAGGAGGCAGGTACATCCAGCTGACGAGTCCCAAATAGGACGAAATATGCATCCTGGATCCCACTTCTAGCCACCATCCATCTTTACTATGGATCATTTGGTCAACATAGTAAATTTGAGAATAAAAACTCTGAAGGTCACTCTTCTAACTGCGGAATCGAAAGTCGGTAGGTAGTTCATTTCTTCTCATTATGTATCTACTAACTCATTTGAACCTGGTAGACTACATACATTGGAAGGTATTCGGTGGACATATCCCAAATGAGTTATGTCTTATGACTCTAAACAATGGTAAAGGATTTCTTGCTAGATATGTGATAGAAATACGACAAAATTTCAACATCTTTTGTGCATTCAAGATAATCAGTATAGAAAACACTATCGAGTCCCTTGGATACACACAAAAGGTTTTTTTCTACAAAAGGGAATTGTTCACCATCAACATTTATGATAGTATGATAGAAGGAAGTGGAGATGGATTGGGCATGCACTGAGAAGACCATTCGGGGACATCGCGCACCAGGCCCTCGAGTGGAACCCAGATGAGAAACGACGAGTTGGGCGTCGGAGGTGAGAATGACATGGAAGAGATTGTGTGAGGAAAAAATGAGAGCTCCTGGGCAGTCGTGGAGCCAGGTTTAAAAGACTACAGAGAACAGAGTGCACTGAAGCCCTATGTTCCATTAGGAACCCAAGGGACAAATAATAATATAATAATTAGTTTTATCTGAACTCTTCAAGCTGTACCACTTCACTCTTTATTCTTCATCCTTAAACTGATGAAAGAATGAGAAATAGAGAGCGAAGCAATACAGCTTTCAGGGTTAGATCAGTTGGAAAAGGGTTTCGATATGGTCAGACCAAACGTGGCACTATTTAATGAATTCCCTGGTTGTTGGTCGAGGCACGTAGAGTGACGACTGGGGTCTCCGAAACGATAGAAATCAGTGGTTGAGGAATCTTGGTGAAATAACTGAAAATCAGTCACAATGACCCAGATGTATTTACTCTTTGATATCTTCTAAAGCTTGAATGTTTGCACTAACGGTTATCTTCAGATTGTTTATTCTCTCGCACAACTTTGTCTACTTTGATGTCAGTTTTTGGTGTCCACCTGTTCTTTGTATACTACTATGAAGTATGGCAACTTGAACTGATGCACCTGTGTGTGAGGTTCTACATTGATTTCGTCCCTTATCCTTGAACTTTCTTCTTTTTAGTCATATGTGTACAGATTAGTTTTGTTCAGGTATGCTGTGTGATATTATTTTTGCAAAGCTTCTATGCACCTGAAGGTGACAATATACTATGAATTAATTGTATTTTACGAATCATACTTGTCTTACTTTATGGAAATAACATCAGTTAATGATGGATAGTGGCTAGTAGTGGAATCCAAGACGATCATTTCTTCCTACTTACGACTCTTCAGCCGTATACACCCGCCTCCCTCTGAGCGACGTTATCCCCACTGGGACTTGAACTCAGGACTGATTTCTTTATACGCCGGAGCGTTATCCACTAGACCACAGAGCCACGATAACCACTTCTTGTGCGACGGGTATAATTTTAGCGTTGTTGCTTGTATTATCCCGCCGTTGAGTGGATCGAACTGATTGGTCTCCATTGGACATTGTGTGGGAGACTTTGTTTTCTAAGTACGCTGTCAACACTTGACTAGATTTAATTCACAAGCTTCAAACCTCTTGATAGGAATGTCTGAATCAAGTCACTGTTTGATTACCACTTTCTACTTTACGATTCATTAACTGAATCAGTTTGCTGTAATTCTGCTAATCTTTCTTGAAATATTGTTTGATGGCATCACCAATAGACTCCGGTTACACTACTTTCGTCAAAAAAACACCCACACACACATTTTTGGAATTATACACATGTTTATATCATTTTGACAATTTGAGATAGCCGTGGTTTGGCGAATTAGTATCGATACTGGATGATGATTGAAGGTGAAATGAAAATTTGGACCGCGGCCAGATTCGAACCAGCGACCACCGGGTTTCCGACCTGATGCTCTACCAACTGAGCTACGACTATCCGACTGCTGACCAGATTGTTATTTCACTTCAATCATGACATGCCCTAGTGGAAATGACATACTTGTAATTATCGAAATAGTCCCACTACATAATGAAAAATTAACAAGAGACAATTCAGCGGAAATTCTTTTCTCCATTGAATCCTTTTCAAAAGCTGTACATTCATAGTAATAGTTACAATTATATATATATATATATATATATATATATATATATATATGTCCATCAGTAGCTAATACGTCAGTACAAAGTCATCAAAAACGGTTAAAAAAAGTCACCAGGTGATAAAGCCTGGAAGGTCAACTCAAGGTCATCAAAGTTGCTTACAGGATTACAATAAACAAACCGTAAACAAAGAAATGAATGAAATGTCCTAGGAAGTTTACGACCAGTGTGAGATAAGGGTTTGAATATATCTCTTTTGAACACAAAATCAGGCTTGAACCTCAGACCCAGTGATTCAGTGGTAGCGTGTTGACCACGGTACCTGAAGGTCTTGTGTTTGACACCTGGCTGGGCGGGGTCACGGGTGCGCAATGCTGAGGAGTCCCCTACTAGGACGAAACAGCTGTCCAGTGCTCCCAGGTTTCCAATGTTTCTCCAACTGATGTCAGTCCATGATGAATACTAACTTGAAACCAATGGTGAAGCTTGTAGATTATTCTTCAAGTGTCCACTCATATATATATATATATATATATATATATATATATATATATATATATAACTGAGTTATGTAAAAAACTACGTAATCATTTTCCAAATTACCGAGCGGAAGACATGGAATTTGACGTTGTATCACCTCTGCTACAAGAATAAGTTGTTAACCAGATCTGAATTTCGCTGAGTTGTTATACTTGGTATTACAACTTAACAATCCATATATATCAACTATTCATGAGTGTTTCTACCTGGATAAATTCTCAAAAAAGTTAGATTTTGATATTTAGTTACCGACTGATTTTTTTATATCGGTCAGTGAGATTTCAATAAATAACAGTTTATGGTTTAAAATCCTAGATAATAACAATGTAAGATGCTGCATAGCTACGTTTCTATCCAAGTTGTGAAGCTGTAGCTTATCAGTTCAAACCGTCGACTTTCAACCAGTGGTTCACGGATTCATACCTCACTCCACCTACTGAGCTTTTCACAGTCTCGGGTATTGGTATTAGTTCTTACACATTAGTGTCTAACTTGACCTAGCCGCCAAACCCGTACTTGGATGTTGAGTTTATTACTAAGCTGATACGCTTTACATTAGCACAGCGAAATAGGAGTAATTGAATCGAAATAAGGAAACATGTTATCGTTCGTAAAAGCCATGAGACAAACAGAAAAGAAGATAAGGATGTATAACTGTACAATATATTGCCTGAATCCATCTCGGTCACTTTGCCCGATTTCGAGCCACACTTCAAAGAGGCTAAACTGTGTCGTTCGTTTGTTTTGCGGGTGATAGTTGAAAAGACGACAATACCTCTTTGTATGATAGATACTAATAGTCATTGACTTCATAGTTTAGGTCACGTCTTGGTCTTGTCTTACTATTCTAACACAACTAACACAGTGCATTAGAGTAGACGGTTAGTGGGTATAAATAACATACATCCTGACCACAGCATTCGATAATGGTTTGTAGCTTCGAAACTATCCTACCTTTTTCACCGACAGCTACACATAACTGCCGCATTATTCATGTATTAGCCTCGCGATACAACCTACTATCAAGCTTTTTTATCATTTTTGTAATGATATATATATATATATATATATATATATATATATATATATATATATATATATATATATATATAATGTTGCTTTGATATCATTTCATTTATTTTATTATTCTGTATGAATATGCACAGGAGGCAGCAAGCTACAATCCAAATCATATAACACCACAACAGTACTTCTCTTCACCAGCTGGTCCACAAAGTGCCCTGGATGATATTGGCCGACCAAAAGTGATGACAACTAAGGTGAAGACATTCAAAGCGCGTTTATGGATATGTCGTGATTTCCCATTATCACTGAAGGATCAAATTATACCAATTATCGATTTAATGTCTGAATATAATCCATACTTTCATAAGCTTAAAGAGTTTCTTACTAAACAACTACCAAATGGATTTCCATTGAAAATTGGTAAGTTTTTTGTGAATTTGTCAAGTAGTAATATCACGTGTAGAAGTTAATATTTTCCTAATGATCTTTTTCTCTACAATCGACTTCACTGGGATATCTGTGAAATGGGTTAGTTAAATTTATAGACCAGTATGTGTAAGTCTTTTAGTTATGTGAAACTCTATTTGCCTAACGGCAACTCAAATATTTATACATTGTTACATCCTGTTGTCGTTGGTGTTTAACTGATAAATTAACCCTTGATTTATGTTGTTTTTTTTAGTTCATCTCTGTGTTTTAAGAAAGGTTCGCTTTCTTATTTCTAATATGCTTAATAGAAGTTAGTAAAGAGAATATTGTAATTGGTATCCATATCCATTTTCGTGTAACTGGTTGACAGTTATACTCTGTGTCTTAAATTTAAGACACTTCGATTTCGATATTAATGATGGATGGGGCTAGCAATGGGATCCAGAACGCACGTTTCACCTTATTTAAACTCGTTAGCTGTATGTGCTTGCCTCTTAGTGAGTGATGTTCCCATAAAGACTCGAGACCGGGGCCGGTCACTTCAATTACCAGTGTTATCTACTAGACCACTGAACCACGATAGTCACTCCTTGTGCGACAGGTATAGCCGGATTTTCTTGATATGGCTATGAAGCTATAACATAACACCAAGAAAACCCTTAGAGACTTCATTCAACTACTATTCTTGCTTTTTATATTATTTAAATATAGGATCTATTGGTTGATATATAAGTACTGAAGGAGTCAGGTGAGGTATCTTGACCTTGAATAACACGTTCATTAAACTATCATACTAAGACGAAAACTAGAATATCCACTGAATAACACTATTTTCTCAATATTATTTCTCTTATTCCTCATCACACTTATTCACAAAATGAACTAGTATAAGAGTTTTCTGTTCTACATCTCTTCATAAGTTTTCAAACTGTGTTAATACAAGCCTTATTATTGGGTTATCGGGTTGTTAAATCTGCAACAATAAACAGGAAGTGTTTGTATTCTTGTGTTTTATACCTTTGAGGGTAATCGGTTACAAACCTGGAGATTCAGTGGGTATGTGGAAGGGGGAATCACGTTATTTACTAAATAAAGTGAAGTTTAGAAATTGAAAGCTGTTAGCACGTGACTCATTGGCAAGATGCTGCTTCGTAGATGCGGGAATCTTATTCTGGAGGAGTTCAAAGGTGTACGTTACTGAGGCTACCAACGTCAAGATGAAGCAAATGTAAAGTTAAATACTGTTTTCAGCTTTCCGCTTCTTCTCATTTAATTTGTGTTTACAATTAGGTTGCCTATGTTTCAGACATCGTTTTGAATAGTTTTTTCCAACTATCTTTTCCCGTAGAAGGACTTTATTATATACGTCTTTTCATTAAGCACCGGATTTAAATAGACTGAATAATTTTAACTCAGATTGATGATCCAGTCACCCGACTGCATATTTTTAGACGCAATTTATCTGGTTCGATTATGATTTTGACCCATTCTATGACAGATTATGGTATACTATCCGGTTTAATCACTGGTTGAAAGTTGAGGGCGTAAACGATTAACCTACATTTCGTTGAAGATCTACCTTAGAGTTAAAATCACAATGCAATTAGTCATTTTACTGTCTATCATTCGTACCATTTGTTTTAGCTCAATTAAATTAATAAATACATGGTAGAACAATAGCATTTGGACATTACTTCTAGAAATCAAAACAATCCAGGAAAAAAATTCCTTTTTCTGTGATATCATTTCCTGAAGCTGTAGCTGACTGACAGACTGACTGACAAAATCAGTCTAGAACCTCACACATAATTGCATCGGCTCAAGTTGCCACACTTCACAGTAACACACAGAGAATAAATAGGTGGATAGAAAAGGCGTGTGAGAGGATAAACAACCTGAAGATAACGGTTAGTGCATATATTCAAGCTTCAGAAGATGTTATTGTGATCCAGTTTTATCCATATCTATCACCAGGACTCCTCAACTACTAATCCCTCTCATCTCAGGGACCCAGGCCGTCAGTCTATGTCTCCTCAAACGACTCAGACTGTCAATCAGGGACTGATGCCACGTTTTGGTCTGACCACCATAAACCCTCTCCCAACCTTATCCAACCATCGCCTACCTCGATGGGTAGTGTCTCGGCATATCCAGCACCTGTCCAATCCGTATCAGTCGACTGAGGTTCACGACCTCATCGATCAACTTTCATGTCTTGCCTAGTACTACCCTTCACCTCACCTCAACATCGCTCACACAGTAATTCCACCAAATTTGAGCAATGCTACGAATATACTTGTGATCAAAACATTTCAACTGCAACTGTGCTTAGACAACCAATTATTTCTGGTTAGCATGGACTTCAGACATAAAGGGAGACATTCTCTTACATGGTGTCCACCTACTTCAGCTCAGCGGTCAACGCAGAATAACCATATTGTTACTAGTTATCCCTGGAGATAGTCGGCGGCGGATCACTGTTTCTTCTTGAGCAAGTATTTGAACAGCGTCCACATTTTGGTTCAAGCGCGTATATGTCTACGTCTAAATGCACGTGGAGGAACTGTAGCAGCAAAACCATTGTGAGTGCAGCTCGACAATGAAAACAGTAATGATACTTTCAGCGAGAAACCATGTAAACGGTTATTGGAATAGAACAACACCAGTCATCCAGAAGAAGCTTAATGTCATCTCTAGTCTACTATAAAAGCAGCGTGGTAGACCGCAGTCGCCTCAGTGAATCTCAGCAGCTTCTTCTGAATCAATGGATGCTAGCGAATTCGTCCCTCTAGGCTTCCAGCACAATGAGAAGCGGAAGCGACTCAAATCTAGAATAGTGAGAAATCTGTGCAGTGACCGTAGCGATTGTGATTAGTGACGATTAAGGAAATGGAGAATAAAGTGGTAACTATTGCTATTATAAATGGACTGTTGTCTTTGTCAGTGGAGTGATTTATATCCTCCAAAAAACATCTTATTTTCTTATTTCTTTTTCCAGACTACTGACTTGTATATAGTGACATCTTATTTACAAAATTGTAAAAATAAAGCAATTCACCAGAGAAAAGATGAGTTGTGTATATTTGCCTTTGTCCTTGCGTGTATATGAGAGAAAAGGAGATGGCGAAAACACTAAATGCTAATTTTCTATTCATTAATTTTGTCGCTTCTTGCCTTCTTCCATTTTTGCCGTCTCTCTCTCTCTCTCTCTCCCTCCCTCCCTCTCTCTCTCTCTCTAATTAACATAATCAAAGTTTTAAAATCGGTTATTAGTAATACCGTACTGGATCAAGGTAAAGAAATACAGATTGCATGAAAAGAGTGCGATACCATTTTTGTTTACCTTGAGTTTATACTCATAGAAATGTTATCTGTATACTTATGTGAAACAGGCATAATAGTTCGTTTTAATGAACTAAAACAAAACGTTTAAGTATGGATTTCAATATTAAGTTGACTGAATTCGGCAAGTTACCTGATAGCTGAATGTAGAAGAGGAAAAAAGATGTGGAAATACAAGAAAGTGAACAATGTTACTAAAAAAAATTCGTTCGCAAGTTGTTGTTTTTTTTGCTTAGTCAAATGAGTAGAACAGGCTTTAACACTTGCATTACAGATTCGATATGATCATATGCCTAGTTTTATGCTTACTGTGGTTAGTCTCATATCGCTTCCACTCAACTTTCTCTTTAGTCATCATGATAATAAGAAACATATCAAAGTATCTCAGTTGTTAGATATTCATAGTGTGATTATATAAAACTCTGTTTCTCGAATACCTCTGCCGTAACTTTTTTAACTCTAGCACTGAACGAAGCGGATTCGAATCTCAGAAAGGATACCAAATGCCTCGAAGTTGCAGTTACCTCTTACCTCAGGAAATCTGTCCAACACTTCCTACCGATTGGTTCCATCCAACTAACAAACATCAGAGTGCACTGCGATGATGAGTCCCCCAGCTTGGTGGACACACTATAAAATGCTTGGTCAGCATTCAGGAATAAATGGTATAAAATTAGTTGCTCTCCAGCGACAAGTCAGCGTACCTGTTTCCTGTTTGTCCATATGATAGCTTCATCAAAGCTCACCGTCTGTTTTACCCTCCAAAAATCATGCTTAGTTGACTTCTAGTTCCAATATCCAGTTTTGTAGCATGGTACCACTCACAAATGATTACCAGTTTTTTGATCTATTTCCTCTTTAGGAGCTTGTACAAGAAGCAACATATTTCCGAGGATTATTTTTAATTTAGACACAAACCGAGCAGTTTTAGAAAACCTGTTAAATCGAAATTTGGGATTAGAATTCTCTTTCCCTTATTTTAGGTTGTGTTTTTTCAACCTTCCATTCGTTCACTAGTTTAGTTCCCTTTTGGGGTCATCTGACACAACGACTAAGGTCATGTAATATCTGTACAACTGCTTGTTACAACACCATTTGTCTTAAGGTCAAATCTAGCTAGCTACAGATGAATCTGTTCTGAGTACTTCACTTATTCTTATATGAGATTTCTACCTCCCTCATTCTCTTTTTTGTATGTTTTACAGAACTTGGGATGAAACTGCTAACAAAATTTTTGAAGTTAACAGAAAATTTCTCTAAGTTTCATTCATATTTCATACCATAAATTAGGAACTTATGTAGGATTGACTTCAGTTATCTCTCTTTTCATTTACATAAGATTTTCTATACTGCAAATGGCTATATGTTCGGAGTAGAATAAGATGGATAGTTTCAAAATTCGATATTCCATAATAAATTGGTATCACTAGCGTTTTTTTTTCGAAGAGCCTTATTTGGTATCTTCGAACACCGCCTAGTTATACTTTTTGTCGATAATACGATAAAGTAATGATGGATAGTGGCAAGCAGCAGAATCCAGGATGTGCACTTCGTCCTATTTGGAACTCGTCAGCTAGGTGTACCTGCCTCCTAATGAGTGATGTTCCCACCAGGATTCGAACTCGGGACCGCCCACTTCAAATGCTAAA